TGGCGAGCGCACGCATCCTATAGCAGAAACCTTTCCAAAACAAGACAAAAAAAAAAAAAAAGTAGGCATGAATATCAAAAAATTTTGCACCAAAATAAGCTTGTTCTTTAACTTTGTTTCTCGACACTTTTTCAAGTCACCTCAAAGCTTACATGTGTTTTTTTAATTCTTCTAGAGCTTTTTCTTTAAATTTGAAGGATATAGGATGAGAAACTATCAAAATCTTGCTGAAGTATAGAGAATTCTGTATTTGAAGGGTGAGAAGTCCCATAGCCTAATTAGTTGGAGGAGTCAGATGCTAAATGGATGGTGCAGTTTTAATCCCAGCCCCAGGTCATTTGAAAAATAAGCTGAGTGGGGACTAGCAGTTAACGTAATGGCTATGTCACTGAACTCCCATGTAGCCAACCGTGGTTCGAGTCCCAGACCTGGTGGCTTAAACTCACGCCAGGTGCATGTGCGTGCATGCCCAAGATCCCAAGAGGAGAATGGAGGAGAAGGGACTATGGCGTGGCCATCCCCCCTGGGGGGGAGTGATTTCTCTCTTTCTGTCTGTCTCTCTCTGTCTTTCTGGCAAGCACACGTGCCCTATAGCAAAAACCTCTCCAAAAAAATAAAATAAAAAAATAAATTACATTGATAAAAAGAAAAATTAAAAATAATAATCTACCCTTACATAGAGAGAGACTCCAAACAGAATAATTGCAATGTGTGTTAAGTTGGATAGTGGAAAGGGATCATAAATTCTACATGAATTCCTATTGCTATGGATTATGGGAGAAGACCTAATAATGATATTGCCTTTGATTACAGACATGGAGAGTAATTTAAAAAAAAAAATACAGAGCACACTGCTTAGTAAGATTCCATCTCAATGAATATTTGACTACACTTGTCAAAATTTCAATAAAGTCCTCATAGGATCTTAGATATTAGAGCATGAAAACCAGGCATATAAAATAGTAACTATCCCACAGAAAGTCACCAAATGCATTTATTTGTCATACAAAGAACTGAGAGATTGATGCAGTTTATCAAAGTCAGAAAGAAATTTTATATTCTGTAATTAAGTGTTCAGATCTGATTTTATTCTCACTGTTTTTAATTAGGGGATGAAACTTCTCTGGATTGAAATAGCTAGGAAATATTTTTAAACCTTAAACAGCAAAGTTCAAAATGACTGCATAGTATTGCATCTTCCTTTCCTTTCCATAAGTATTTTAACACCACATCAGTCACCTTTCCACTTAAAATCAGAAGTCAGATGCTGAACACACTTACCAATTCACTCTCACTTTGTAGAGAGTAAAAAAATCTGTTTGGTTCTAGTTGATTTGACAGATACTTCTCATTCTTGCTGCTTTACATGCATTATTTCCAACACAGAGGATAAAGAACCCTCTTGTTGGTAAGAGCCCATGTGCCAAGATGTTTGCTTGACTTGCACAGCAGAGTGGGGGCGGCTGCCATCTTGGCCAACATGGTGGCTACTGGCCAATAGGAGCTGCGTGGTAGAGCTCTGGTGTGTCAGTGACTCTTACTGTGTTCAAACAAAGGGCAATATTTGCAGTTTATGAAGCACTTTGGAAAGTATAAAATGGCAAAACTACTAGACATCCACTTAACATCTTTCCTCTAAATGAGGAAAGTAGAAATGTGGACCTGAGAAATGCTATGCTGGGATTTATGACTCACATAATCTGTGCATAAGTATCCAAACATAATTCTGCTGCACTAATGGCTTGTGTTCTTTCTGGGCATTCTCTACTTCCTTCCTAGAACACTTAAAGGAGAAGTTAGAAGAATACATGGCCCGATTTTCCAAAGTGAGGATTGTACGCACCAAGAAAAGGGAAGGGCTTATCCGCACCCGACTCCTGGGGGCATCCATGGCGAGAGGAGAAGTCCTGACGTTCCTCGACTCCCACTGTGAGGTCAACGTGAACTGGCTGCCCCCACTCCTAAGTGAGTACAATCATCACAGCACCATCCTGGGAACCAGGGTGGCCGGGCGAGGTGTGGTCCTTCAGGAGGAATGTATAGCTTGCAACTAGTTAGTTTGTGATCAACAAAGGCTAAAGAACCCTTCTACAGTTCTTCCAGCAGGATTCTTGAATTCTATCATAACCACTGCCAAGAACAAATAGGTAACTAGGACTGTATTAAAACTGACATTTTAAGATAATACCAAGTGCAATCTAAATTTAGGTTTGAAAAGGTTCTATTTATCATAGACGTCCTTCCTTATTGCAGTTACAGTCACTGGGCAAACACCAACAGAAAAAAAAGTTTCCTAAAACTTATTTCATAGTCACCCTATAATGAAAGAATAAAATACATGCACACTCACACAAATGTACACACTTTCACAACTACTACAGAACTATTGAACAAGGAAAACAAAAAAGCATTAGTCATTGCCGGAATACAAAGTATGAGCACCTTGGCATTTCCTAGTATTTATGTCATTTCTTTCTTTCTTCCTTTCTTTTAAATTATTTTCACTTCTGGTACTAGCCTGTATCTCTAAATGCATAACTCCCCATATTTTTATTGAAGCCCCTCAAACACTCAGAGCTGCTATCTAGGTCTTATGTGCTCACAATACAGCTAAGTGGAGGGAAAGAAAAAGACCATGTCTCATTACATTTGAACTCTTAGAAACACAAAAGAACTGCAAGAAATTCAAGCTAAAACACAGACATGTGGCACAGTTTCAGCTTCACTACTTTTGGTACTTATTTGACAATGAAGTCAGATCTAAAGTCCAGTGGTGGATAAAAAATAGTCTGAAAAATATATATATTTCTAAAACGTTCCTGATGCACACTATTGTACTCCTTCCTCGTCTTCCAGATTTTGTTAAATCAACTTTTATTGTAAATATATCCCTGGCCTTGGAACTAAAGCCAGTAACAACCGCCTTCACAATAGCTGTCTCAGAAAGAATGATTCACTATTGACTGCTGTGTAGGATTTCAGCTAGAACCAGCAAAGCTCCATTAGTAAAAGATGTGATCCTCCGAGCTTTTAATTAAAAGTACCTTGTCCAAGGACATAGCAATTTGGAGCTTCATCAGCAACAGTGAGATTCCCTCAAACTGAATTTGACCTATATGGTGTTGAATACTCAAGCAAGTCAGCAAAAGGCCTAATTTATTTATAAACCAAAGCAATCCCTAAATGCCAATTATCGAGTTTCTGATTGTTCACTAGGAATCTAAAAAGAAAAGAAAAAGAAGAAGAAGAAAAAAAAAAAGATTAAGAGAAAACCCACAACCCACTTTTTCTCATTAAAGCATTTCATTTCCTGTAGGCCTGATGGATAAGAAATGATTCAAGCTCAGGATCACTATCTTTTTTTATTTCCCTCTATTAGTGTCGTGACACATCATCCAAAATGAAAAAAACAGGCGGAGCCATACAGTTTCTTGGTTCATTTTTCACCTTGGGATTATACCTGAATTTCAATTTCCCATTAAGAGTCTGTTTGTTTGATCCCTGGAAATTGAAATGTAGGCACAAGCCTTGGATGAAAAATTAGTCATGCTGCTCTCACCCTCAGCTAGTAGAGCTGAATGAGAGCTGAAAGGAAATTTGAAGGGAAAGTTGACAGTTAATTTAACAGACTCATTCTCTTTGGGTCACCTTGGGACTCCTTGTTGGTCAAGGAACTTGTAAATCACTGTGATTCTGAATTTGATTGAAGAAAGTCACTGAAATCTTAATAGTAACATACCTGCAGGGTAATAGAAGAAATATTTCAGACACAGCAATGATGTTCTCCATCAAAGACATCTCTGGGAAAACACCATTTAGATAAAGATGAAAATACATTACAGGGCTTGTCGTGGTGAAAATGTATGCTCCTAGAGCCCTTGGTGAAGATTAAGTGGAAATACTGTTGGGGTTTCAGTCTACTAATTAGCTGAAAGAAGATCAACCTCCAGACTCTTTGAGGCTGACTGGGGTCTTGCCATCTAAACTTGCAACCCTTTCCATACCCCAACATTCTGCCTTCCCTTTATCTTGTTTATTTTCTTTCCATCTCATTTATCACCCTCTAAGACACTATATAATTTAGTTAGTTATTATGGTTATCAGTTGTCTTTGCTTCATTCTTGAAGATAGGGATAGTTTGGTTTATTGCTGTATGTCCAGAACCTAGCAAAGTAACTGATACATAGTTTCGACTCTATAAGTTATTGCTAAAATGGAAGGAAGGAAGGAAGGAAGGAAGGAAGGAAGGAAGGAAGGAAGGAAGGAAGGAAGGGAGGGAGGGAGGAAGGAAGGAAAAAAAAGGAAGGAAGAGTATGCAGATCTGAAAGGGAGATCTCTCACAGGATTCTGTGGTTTCCACACCCTGTTTCCACCAATAAAAATTTAACCTTCCTGTCCTATATTTAGGAGAAACTTCTGAAGCAAATGGACAGCTATTTTACTGTAAAAAAAAACTTATCCCTGACACAGATTTACTCCAGGATCTCTGGGAAAAGTATGAGACTGAAAAAAGCCAAATCCCAGAATATTTCAAAATTATATCCATTATTCCTTCATTTAATATCTCATAGCATATCCAAAGGCCTTTCAAATAATAAGAGAGCAGGTGTTTGGACTTAAACATTTTTCCAGTCAGCCAGAATTGATTATTATGAATATTGGGGAAAAGATACTTCACATATAGCTACTGTAGGTAAACCAAAATATGAATATGCTAGTTCCTTATCCTATTACTGTCATCACAACGACAATATTTACATGGAAAAGATAAATGTAAGAACTGAAAGAAGAAAAAGAGAGAAAAGAATCACCTCTCTGCTACTGTGACAAATTAGAAAGGCCAGGTTTTGGAATGAGATTATTACACAAGGGCTACATCCTACTTATTTGCTGTCGGAAGCTGAGTGACACTTGAGAAGTTATTCAACTTCACTGAGCTCAGTTTCTTCATACATAAATTGTAAGAACAGGAAGAGCCACCTTACACCTTACACCTCAGAGTATTAGAAAGAGCATGAGTTTAGATCACTTAGTAGTAGCTCAAGAATTTAATACTAGCTGGAGTAGTAGCCGTAGTATCACACCACCTAATACCTTTTGGATATGATGAGAGAAGGGAAAAGGAATAGTTTTGATAAACAGAGTTGTCTTAAAGCACAGAGGTGAACCAGGTCTTGAAAAATTCCCTGGCAAACCTGAGAGCGGAGAATTCTATGTTCGATCTTCTATATTTCGGGGAGAACTGCCATCATGACTGATAGAAGATTAGATGCTACGAAAACCATGAAGTTAAATATTTACATTTTGGAGCCTCCGGAAAGCAGGCCAATATTTTCTCAGCAGGCTCTAACTGTATGCTTGAAGGAACACAAGTACTGTTTATACTCTGCACATGTAGGATGCACGATAAGATGACAGATTGGGGACAGGTCAGAGCAAAAATGTGACAGAGGTAAAGCTAAATGGACTTCTGCAAGTCTCTCTGGGACGGAACTTTCTTAAAGGAAAATACAACAACTATAATTGTACGTAATCACTGTCCCATCATGTTAAGTCCAGCACTCAGACCGAGATTTCTGCAAAGTGCTCTACCAACGACCGGGAGCCAGTGCTGCGAGCGTTATGCATTAGCGGGGATCTGCAGGCTTCTCTTTGCTGAGAAATGATAGATGACCTAGGCAGGCATGTCATTTCCTATTTTGTGCTTTCATTTTTCAGACCAAATTGCACTAAACCACAAAACCATCGTGTGTCCCATGATCGATGTCATTGACCACAATCACTTTGGGTATGAGGCACAAGCTGGGGATGCCATGCGAGGAGCCTTCGACTGGGAAATGTACTACAAAAGAATCCCCATCCCTCCAGAGCTCCAGAGGGCAGATCCCAGCGACCCTTTTGAGTGAGTAGCAGCTGAGGGAGGGGCCAAGGGAGAGAGGACAAGTAACTCCTTCCAGGCGTGGCACACCTGCCACCTGTAAGGACAATAATCTCTAATAAAATGGAATTAAAAAAGAGGTGGAAAAGATATGCTAAACATCAGGGGGAGGCCAGATCTACAAGTTGTAGAAAATTACTGCACCGAGTACATGGGTCCCATTTCTTCAGCTTTGCTAAGCCTGGGAGAAAGTGTGCTGATGAAAGAATCAGGAAAATGCATAGTTAAGAGGAAATACATGCTCCTCTTTTCAGTGTTCTCTATTTTTAGTTCTGTCTGTTCTTTATAATTTTCCCTGAAGGATTATTGCAATTAACTATTTTGTTTTTCATTTATTGGGAATTGATATAAAATAAGAGCCAGTATTTAAGCCTAAATTTTGTATCCTGTTGGGATCTGTCTGTTTATGATGGAAGCAGTGCTTCTGAGTAATATCTTCAACTACAGGGATTCCATCACAGTGATACATCCAGAATAAAGCATCTCTGATAACCCTGCACCTAACTTGAGTACTGTATAGAGAATTTACAATAATGATCTATTGGGACCAGCAGTTAGCGTAATAGCCATGTCGCTGGACTTCCACATAGTCGACCATGGTTCGCGTCCTGAACCCGGTGGCTCAAAACTCATGCCGGGCACACGTGCGTGCGTGCCCAAGATCCCAAGAGGAGAATGGAGGAGAAGGGATTGCAGGGTGGCCATCCCCCCTAGAGGGTGATTTCTCACTTTCTGTCTCTCTGTCTGGCGAGTGCATGCACCCTATAGCAAAAAAAAAAAAAAAAAAAAAAAACCTCTCCCAAAAAAATGACCTATTGACTAATCTCTACAAAACTAAATCCATTTTTTTCATTGTGAACTTGAGAATGGTGCAGCTCAAGGAAAAAAGAAAGAGAGAGAGAAAGAAACAAAGAAATATAGCTTCATTTACCCAACTATCAGGACCATTAATGGTAGACAGTGAACTTCTTCCAACAGTTAGCCCAAGATTGCCCAAGGCATACTTCATGTATTCCTCATATTGTACCCTTTGATCTCATTGAAACCTTCATAATTTTAAAGCTATTATATAGTTTTTTCTTAGTACAAGCAGAATGTCTGTGATCCAGGACATCGGCACTCTGTAAAAGTCTATTTAAAATGTATTAGAGTCAATATTGTCATTTCGTCAATAATATGGGCCATAAAATTTTGCCATACAGGAGCTCCTGAGTCCAAAACCCACTTCTGGGGCACTAACACTTTAAATCACAATACATGTTTAATAATTATCGTGAAAACCTTTCTGCCCCAATCTAGTCTCTAGAAAGATGAACTCTAAGGGAAGCAAAGAGGTTTTCAGAAGGCATTAGCCTGATAAAATGAGAGTAGCCTTTTTTTTTGTAAAATGAAGTACCATCTTTAAATATCCAGAGCTGCTGGAGGTAAGCCTCCTTAGACTCTCAAAGAGCTGGAAAGTTTTTGAAAAGAAAAATGAAGAATCTTTGTTATTCCCCAAATACATTGGCCAGAATTTTATGGATATTCTAAACTACCAGGGAAGTTTTTTGGTAAGCTAAGTAAAGGAGTTTGTAATACGCGTGTGAAGTGGGTCCAGCTAAGAGATGCTCTCCAGATTTCTGCGAGGGCAGCCATCTGAAAAGCTTGGCAAGGGACTTACAGTGGGCTAAATAATATACGTGTGAGGTACGCCGGGCGCGTGTGCGTGCGTGCCCAAGATCCCGAGAGGAGAACGGAGGAGAAGGGATTGCGGTGTAGCCATCTCCCCTGGGGGGTGATTTCTTGCTTTCTGTCTCTCTGTCTCTCTCTGTCTTTCTGGCAAGCGCACGTGCCCTATAGCAAAAACCTCTCCAAAAAAAATAATAATAATAATGCATGTGTGAGGTAATATTAATTTTTATATTATTTTAAATATATTTAATATATTTAATATATAATTTTTAATATTATTAAAAGCATTAATTCATTTGATTTAGCCATTCCACAAGGTATATGGTATTTCAAAACATCATATTATACACCATAAGCATATATAAATTTTTGTCAATTAAAAAATAAGGTAAAATAAGATAAACAAAAAATTGTTTTTAATATTAAAACAAAGTAAAAATAGATGAGAAGAATACAAAAACAGCCCTAAACATAGTAAAATGAATAGCCACAGTTCAGGTGTTACTATTTGAGTTTACCATGTATTTTGTTTTGTTTGTTGTTTTGTTTCTTTGTTTTGCTATAGGGCCATGTACTGCCGAGAGAGAGAGAGACAGAGAGAGACAGAGAGAGAGAAAGTGAGAAATCATCCCCCACAGGCAGAGGTTGGCCATGCTACAGTCAGTCCTTTCTCCTCTCAACTCTCAGTATTTTGGATCCACACACATGCCCAGAATGTTTCTCAAGATGCCAGGTCCAGGACACAAATCACAGCATCAGCCATGTGGGATCCAGCCTTCTTAACCTCCAAACCATCTGCTAGCCCAATATTTCCATGTTTTAAGGGTTAGGATTCACTCAGAATAGCTTTTTAGTATGAAAAAAACCCTACAATTTAGTTTAAAAATATTAATTGGCTTTGTTTGAGGTTCTGGTATCGGACAACACTTCATTCCATGAAAGAGAATAAATGTTCCAAGGGGTTGGAGAGAAGAGGATGGTTTTGTAGATAGAGAAGGGATGAAAAAAGTAGAAACAAGATACAAAAAGAAGATTGGCCATTTAAAATTCCTTCTCTTGTGTGGTAGGGGTCAGGAGACAGAACAATCTGAAAATAACTAAATAGTTAACATTGGGTTCCTTCAGGTTACTTCTTTTAAGAATTAAAACAGAGGGAACGTCAATTAACATGCAGATTAAAACTAGCTCGTTTGGGAGACTAAACTGTTGCATTTCTATTTCTCCTGATTTTTCTGAAAGGTCAGATACTAATTTGTTTTTGGCTTGATTACATAGAGATATGAGTGACTCCATTTTGATTTTTAGCCTGGTCTGCTGGGCAGGAGCTTAATCCAAAACTATGGCCACCAATTATTTTTAACTCTAAATAATATACTAGTTACTGGTGAGGTTGAACTTTTACTTCCCGGAGATAATGTAGTGGGGCTCCCACTTTCTGAAGCAGTGGGATCCAAAGGCTACCAAAGGAAACTCCAGTGATGAAAATATTAATATATTCTCAGTGGTTGTACTAACAGTCAGCATTTTGTCAAATAGACCCTGGCCGTGGGGCTCACACTATCAAGCACCTTGCCTAACCCTAGAGTTGGCAGAATGAGTAACTTTCAAAATTAGATTACCTCTTGTTCCTATCATCTACTTAGGTGGTTGCTGTCCTGTCAAAAATTGCATTTGCCTACTGAATATTGCTGCCTTAATGCTTTAAGTTCCTTTGATTTCCGGGAATGTGGACACTTTAGCCTTTTATAATAAATGTAACTTCCAGGAGCTGTCCACTTTGATCTTAAAAACCACATTTACCTTCCTGATAATAAAAGAATGGTTACCCAAGCAGCTCCAAGCAGTGTATCAACAATTCTATTATCACAGCAGTCACCTGGATGTGCCCATAAACAAGCTAAAACTTGCTTTTCTAGATGTAAAGCTTTAAGCTACACAGAAGGAATGCAGTCTATCTGTATATCTCTCTTAGCCTTTCATGTTTCAAGAGGCTGCTGCTGGGGTATGTGGTTTTCTGCAGGAAGAAGAGGCTGAAAAGATAGGAAGAAAGACTAAAGAATATGCAAATTCACTACAAACCCCAGGACTTTTCACACAGCATAAATGCAAAAAGATATTTTTCTGCAACAAGTTTATCAAATGTCCTTACTGACAAGATCTAAGTTCTCTCATTTTATTCTGTCCTTATTGGAGTTTTCATTGACTATTCGATCAGTGGTGTTCAACCTGAAAATCCTGTGAAATTAGTGGAAGATGAACAGTATTTAATCATTAATGAAAAGATTGAATAGAACGTTTCAGAGTATTATACTAGTGCATAAGTTTGTTATTTCTCAAATATTCAAATTCAATTATAATGCATATAGACAATCCTAGAAGATGATATAAATATATTTCTTAATTTAGGTTGCACAGTCAAAATTCGCCAACCTCTCAAACTGAAAATAAAGACCCTCAACAATCTCCCTAATAAAGAAAAGGAGGGACCAGCAGATAGAGTTATGGTTACAACTCTGGACTCCCATATAGTTGACCATGGTTCAAGTCCCAGAGCCAGCAGCTTAAAACTCATGCTGGACACACGTGCATGCATGCCCAAAGTCCCAAGAAAAAAATGGAGAAGTGATTGCAGTATGGCTGCCCCCCTCCCCTGAGGGTGATTTCTCACTTTCTGTCCCCCTTCTCTGCCTCTCCAACAAGCACACGCACCCTATAACAAAAATCTCAAAAAAATAAGAAGAAAGAAAAGTAAAATTCACAGATAACTTTGTACACTAAGGAAATATTTACTTATATTTGCAAAAGGATATGATTTTTTGACAAACTGCTACTAGCATGTAGGAGAAAATTCAATGTTGGTTGTTCAAAATATTACACAACAACCATAATTTTGATTGGATAGAATTAGATAAATTAGAGAAAGATTTTTGTCTTTTGCTTTAAGAAAAACAAAATATTCCCCTTTTCTGGTAGCTCATCTCACGATGCAATGCTTCTAAGAAACTTTGTTATTTCATTTTTAGAAGGTTCTATTATTCTTGGTTCATTTCAAATGCAGGACACTTACGAATATATGCCCTTTCTGTGTGGCAATACATAATATGCTCCTTTAGCCATGGTGACCATGGTGAAAACACCTGTTTAGTGACCACTAATGTCTTCAATGTCATCTTAGCACCTACAAGTTTAGAAAGGGTCAGGAAAAATTGTCTTTCCTAATTTCCCTGTAATACAATAACCACTAGACAATGTCCAAGACAGGTGACCAATCTCTGCTTGAATATGTCAGAAAA